ACGGTCGCGTGCAACTAGTTTCAGAGTGATTTGAAACTGATCGGTTGCGCCCGTGTGCGATCGGCCTAAATTTGCAATTTGCGCGCGAAACTTGATCATCAACGATTTCGGCCCCTCTCTTTTAGACGTGACCGTCGTTGCTAGAAAATATTGAATTTACTGTAACCTTACGATAATTAACCTACATCCCTTAAGATTTTTAACGTGAGATCTGCGAAAGAAAAAGGGGACCGGTATCGGAAGGATCGACGGTGTCGCGAGACGCGATACGGGATATAATTAAACCCGATTGATAATTGTCAGTCTAATTACGAGTTCGTTCGGTCCGATCTCGTTACGATCCGTCGCGCAGAGAGCGTCAAAGGCACGTCGACGGGGGGATGGCGGCGGGGGGGGGGGGGGAATGTTTGAAAGAAGGAGAATAGCGGCAGCGGGGGGGCGCCGAGGCCTAATTTATCGGAGCCTATACGTCCTCTGTTAAATATAATTACGCTTATTGCCGGCGCGCGCACCGATTGGTTCTTTTTATTGCCGCGGAAAATTGGATATTCCCTAATGGAAATTAATACCGCGATTGTGCCACGCTATTTCCGTTTCGTCGATCTCGACGATTCGCGATGTTCGCCGGACGGGTTTCGTTATAATTAAAGAGCGAGACTTTCGCGCAATTTATAGAACGCGACACGAATAAATTGGACAGAATGGACGCGCGAAACTTGATCGCATCGCTCGAGGATCTTTTGCGAGTTTCATTAACGGTCCTCGTTCGGAGATTCCGAGATGGTCGATCGGTCGGGGAGTTAGACGCCACAGGACTTTATTAGGTAGTAGATTTCTTAAGGAAGCCCGGCTAAAAAATTCCACACTTTCCATTCGACGATCCACTGAAATCCAGCGTTTATACCCCGTGTCGCATCGTCACTACTGGAAGTCGGTCTAACTAGAACCGCAGCTAGGATCGAGGAAACTTAAGCCGTTGGGTGGAAGTCGTATCGGCTTCCAATGCTCGCGCGAGTCTCGGAACATCGGCTACCACGATAGCGAGGTATCAGCGGGATACACCTGAGGCATCTGCGTCTGGGAAGTTCGGCAAAAATAATGGCATGGGAACGGCTCGCCGCGGGATCGAGATAACCGATCGACGTAACGTAGTCGCGCCGTTTCCTCGGCGCGGATCGATCGAATTACCGCGTGGATTACGGTTTAATATCTATCCGTGCCGATCGGGGCATGTTTACATCGGGAAAAATGAGCGGTGATCCCGCGAGTGGACGTCGGCGAGGGTTGAAACGTTGCCTGATCCTCGCTGGCAGATAACGAGAGTACGCGTGTACCGCGGGAAAAGCGATCACGTCCAGCCATCCGGAGCCGCAGCCTCTCCAGCGGGAGCGAGCGTAATTGAAGCTGTTCCTGGAACGCGTCTAAGTGACAGGTGAACACCTTATACGCGAACAGGGGACTCGTGACGATCGTACGCGGTCCTCTCAGCCGAGAGTCGGTCCGCTTTGGACGCACAGGTGTGCGAGGACGAGCTCTCGGGCTCATCCTTTTCGTCGCGGCACCTGCGCCGAGCAGTCCTCTTCGGGAAAGGAGTCGCCAGGCTCACTGATGCCTCGAGACCTGTCCATATTTGCGTTTCGGAAATTCCGTGGATTGATAACGGACTGCTGGCGTAATTGGACTCTCTCGAGTGACTCGGGTGTCGAGTCGGCCGAACGTTTTTCGATATTCTATTCTCGCGACGCTTTGGTAGGCGAGAAGAACGAACCTCTATTTGTATTTTCGATACATTAAGGAGGCTCTACACTGCCATAGTATTTAGAATATTACAATTGTTCGCAATTTTATATCAATAAAAAAAAAAAAATTATGTTAAACATTGATTTTTAGTCGTTATTATATCTACTATATTTATATTGTGTCATAAAGTAATATAAATCAAACATTTTCAGACAAACAGACAGTACTGTTTATATTTGAACGCGCGTTTTCTAACCTCTCGTACAGCGTGCCAGATCTCTCATACTATGTCAATAGCAGAAGACAAAACGCATCATCTTAGTATTCTTTAATTTATTATTAATACTACAAGTACTCCCGGAGTATTTTGTAAATCAATATACGTTCTTTAGATATTTTTCTATTATGCATACAATTTTCGATCCAATCTCGGCGTCAATTACTTTGTAGCACGTAATTGAGTGTGTTGAAAACGCATTTTTCCATAAGAGTCCGCGTTAAGAAGTGAACAATTGAAACATTTATTTCTCAGCTTTTAGGTACCCTAGCCTTCTCAAAATTTGTATGGGTGTTTTTGGGATAAAATCTGAACCCGTATATAAATTTTTATAATTTTCTCGGCGTTATTTCTATTTGCAATAGAGCCTCCTCAAGGGTCACAACAGTTCGCAACCAAATGTCTTTAAATTTAATACAAAGTTCGAATGGTAGCCGATTGAATTCGTAATTTGGTTTGCTCGGTACACGAAACGTGTTCGTCAGAACGACGTGGTTATCGGAAGCGAAGTTCGACGCGGCGAATCGCGTGGCCCCTAATTGGCCGAAAAATAATCTACTATAAAAAGGTAGGGGCATCTGTCGGTTTTATCAAAATGCGCACCTACGCTGTCGCAGGAGCGCGATTTCAAAACGCTGCGGCCTGTTCCGAATTCGAACACATGTGTTTCAAAGAAACCTACCTTCCAGTTCTAACAGTCTCCGTCTGGAAACGAGGTTGTACGTCGGACGACGCGAGCAATTAGGCGCGGAATTAATGGCGCGGGCGAACGATAACGGACGAAATTTCACGGCGAACAAGGCGGGTCGTGTACCCGGTGGAACTTTTCGAGGATTGTGGCACTTAACGGATGATTAAGAGGGCAAATAGAGAGCACCCCCGTTAACGGCGCTTGAAGCTTCATCCCCCTGGAATCCGTCCCCACCACGGTTCGCTTCAAACGCTCCCAGCAGGGCCCTCGTCGTACGTTTAATCGAGTTACCCCCATTTCGTAATCACCCCCTGTCCCCGAGGGTTGCCATGGAGACCGCGGGCGGTCCTGAAACCCGATTGGCGGATCTTCACGCACGCGGAAAGGCCACCCCTTTCCACGTTCTGTACGTGGCTCGTTCCCTGGGATCAGCATGACGCTTCCAACCCCCTTTCGTCGCAACCCTACCCGACTTCTCTGTCTCGCCACGGGGCCAGCCCTCCTCGGTGTTGGATTTACACACTCCACAGCCAGCTGGATTTACACTCGGTTTAACCGAGTTTACCCTCCGTCAGCCCCGTTGGAGCCGCGCTCCATCGACGCCAGTATTTTACGGGGGCGCGTTGTAAAAATCGCATAAAAGCTTCCAGCAGCTTGGACGATTTATGCCGCGACAAGCACCGCAGCTCGCGATTTTATTCGACCGCCGAGCGAACGATCGTCCGCTTTTATCGCCGTGCGCGCCCAATTTTCGCCACCGTGGAACCCGTGAGAAAGCCGTGTTGTCTCACTTTTTATGGAGCGCGCGACTTGGATCCGAAACTAACGCGCAATGATCATAACCGAACGCGAGAAATCATCCGAGCTCCTTCCACGATGCTCGTTCGTTTCTTTCTTCCCTCTGGAGGTTGGGAGAGGGTGAAAAGATACCACTTCGAACAAGAGTATACAGGGTGTCCCGTAACTGGTGGTACGAGCGAGTGGGGGGGGGGGGGGGGAGGGGGGGGGAGGGGGTGATTCTATGTGAAAAATTGAATCGAAAATGTAGAAGGTTTGAAAATTTGTGTTGGACCAGCTTCAGTTCGACGGATTTCATTTTTTAGATCACTTTCATTTTTGTTCGTAAACGTTGTCGATGGATCGATGAACAGATTTTCAGAATTCGTCTAATTTACGAATCATTGGAAGCGCTGGTTTTTTTTTTTCGAAAATGAAGCGTCGTATGACAAAATTTTATTGTACATTTTCGATTCAATTTTTCACCTAGAATCACCCTATACTCGCTTGTTCACCACCAGTTACGGGACACCCTGTATATTCCTCAATCTTGCGCGCTTTCAATTGTAACGATATCGTTGTTAAAAAGCAGAATTGCGAAGCCTCTTTCCAAAAGCTCTGTAAGGTCAGGTAAACATAGCATAGTTTGATATCGAATTCCTCCGCGGTCCGGAACGAGCCCGCGACAAATCGCTCTGCAATAAAGCGTAAACGGTTCGGCGCGCGTCATTTCGTTCGGCTATCGATCCTTCCAGTGTCGTAAGGGGTGGCTCGACCCTCGACCTCCGCGAGGCTTGCCAAATTAAGTGGCAACTAGTTATAAGCCGCCCCAGTGTATCGGGGAACCATCCCTAAACGTGGTGTATCCGGTTACAATGGTTCGTGTCGGTGACGCGGAACCCCGCCACGAGGAGGAGAGAAAAAAAAGAAGGGATGAAGCGACCCCCGACGCGACCCCGAAAGCCGGAGTCGAAGCATTGTCCCCGAATTGACTGTTAGATACACATTCTCTTCGCGCTTCTTCGCGAGAGAAGGGTTGAAAGGGCTCCCATTTTCGAACTATCAACGCGTGAAATCGGCATTGTGGCGGCCCGAAGGGGGTGGGAAAAGCGGAACGGAGGGCACGGATGTTTGGCTAACATCGGATCCGACGTGGTTTTGACAAGACCCCGGATTAGGCTTCGTGCGGGGATGATGCGACGGATCGTTTCGCGATGGGGTTGGACGCTGTTTATAAGAGAGACTCCGAGACCGATTCGCTGGGTAATGGAACGAACACGGGGGGACGATTAGGTTTACCTACACCGATGGACTGATACCCTTAGCCTGGGTTAAAATCAATTTCGACTATATTTTGTTTGAAGTGGTTTGGTCAAAAATGACGAGAGATCAGATCTTCTCGTAATTATGAAAACTCAACATTTACATCTTGGTACACATCTGTCTGAAATATGGGTTCAATTTACCGTTTAGTTTGTTAGATATTAACCAGGATGGAATTGTTTTCTGTTGCAGGTGAAGGTCTGGTTCCAAAATCGTCGAACGAAGCACAAACGGATGCAGCAGGAGGAGGAGGCGAAGGCGCAGCAGCAATCGGGCGGCGGGGGCGGCGGGGGCGGCGGGGGGAACGGGAACAACAACGCGAACAACAAAAACACCCATCACGTGAGCAAGTGGCAGCAGGAGACCGGTGACTATCACCACGAGGAGGAGGAGGAGGAAGAGCACATCGATCCCGAGGCCGAAGAGTGTTCGAGCGGGTCCGAGGCGTAGCTAGACGTCCTCTGCCTGGACTAAGGCGTCAGGAGTTCCGTCTGACCGACGAGGAACGTCCTCGAGAACGTCTCACCAGCTCCTCCAGTCGAATCCTGAAGGACTCTGGAGTCCAAGTGGAATCACAACGAAATTCGAGGAATTTCCAGGTCGAACCCATGAGCAAAGACCTGGAATCGTCGATCGTTCCAAACGTGGACCTGAAATTGAATCACACGGGGAAATGGGGCTGACACCCACGGGAGGACCGTTCGGGGAAGGTCGAGGAACCGAGTCGCATCGGTGAGGCAATTCCAGACTGGAATTGCGAAGCAATATCGAGATGGATTTGTCGAGCAATTTCAGGATGGACTTGTCGAGCAACAACTCCGAGATGGAACGCTTCTAAATGGAGTTTGCGAATCAGGAATTGTCTCGACTGGTCTCCCAAGGAGGAATTGCCGGGTCGGAGATTAGTTTACTACAGTTTTCCAAAGATCGCGCGGACGGCGAGACCCGGGATTCCCTGGAGGGTAGTTCCGAGAAAGGAACGTACTTCGAGCGGAATCGCTGGGTATTGAATCGCGAATTTCAAAGACTGTGCTCAGTGCGAATTACGGAGTCGAGGAGCATCGAGTGGGAGGGACGGACTTCTCCTCGAGATAACATGAATTTTTCTGTAAAAATCGTGCGAGTTCGCGAAAGTGCAAGCTCCCTAATGGCGGAAATATCGATGGGAGAATCGTTGGAGTTGCGGGAAATTCCGAGGATCTTAAGCCTCTATTGCATAACTCGTAGAGAATCCACGTAGATGTCAGTTTCGTTGATCAATTTGTAGACGTATAAAGAGCCAAGGGATAATTTTTTTTTTTTTTTTTTTTTTGTTTAATTAAAGAGAATAGAATTCATGCAATGGAGGGTTAACGCCGAAGTAGGTTAAAGAGTGAGAGTAAAAGATACTTGGATGGCGTAGACTGAGACTGGTTGAAGGAGAGTTGAGTTGATTAGAAATAAGTGAACCCTAGAAGAAGGATTACGAATCCTTCGACGAGATCGTGCGGATCTCCTGTTGGCAAGACTGACTATCCCCCGTATCCGCTTCCGTGTTCCTCGCGTCGAAAACTAACGAGAAACTAGGAGGTCCTTGTTGCTGCTCAAGTGTCCTCGAAGCAGGGAAGGTCGTAATTTTATTCAAATAACAGACGACAAATACACGAGAACAATTACACGAGGCGAAAGTAGACCTGAAGTCTCCCAAGATAAACAATTTTTTCGTCTTTGGATCGATCATTTGAAATTTGATGTCTGGATATGATTTCTGTTCATTTCTCTTCGCGAGTTCGAGTTTCTTTTGGAGAATCGACGGAAGTTTCGAGGTTTCGAAGACCTCGAAGCACGGGTAATGGAAGCATTGTTCCTCGGGGCTCGGCGAAGCTAAACGGTCGGGTTTCCGGCGGAAATGGCGACGTCGGGGTGCCCCGAGTGTTTGAAAGGAACTCGACGACCAGTCCAACCCCTGCTTTTCCATTCGCGCTTTCCTCGATGGAATCGCGATCTTCTCCCAGTACGTTCATTTCATCTTCATTCTTTTTCACCATAGTTCCTCAATCGATCCACAAAAAAAAGACACCGAAACATCTCTCGGGGGAAAATGTAGGACATTTTTGGTGTACTTTCTTTTCCTTCCAGTTCGTACGAGAGTTGCGGCGGATCGAGTGCATTCGTTGGTATCAAACCTTCGTGGTATTAATCAGATATTTCGAATATTTACGACATTTGACAGGGGTGGAAAGAAATTTAGGGAAAGTAAGACACAAGCGTGCAGTTTTCGGGATACAAGATCCCCGCCCCTGGTGATTGTATCGTATGGGAAACACATGCAAAATGTACGCGGAATGCACTTCATAATTTAATATAATCATATTAACGTTTCATTTAGCGAGAGTGTATATAACTCTGCATACGTTTAGCATATATTATCCATATTCGAATACATAAATGCTTAACATCGACGAGCTGGTAATATCAAACAATTAGCAGGTGATCGTTACGACCACCACGCTGGCCCTCTACAGGAATAATAAATAATATAAATTTACCGGAGATGGGCACGATTGCATTAAAATCGACGAATGCACCCGATTTCGCAAGGCTCTCCCTTGCAGAGATGGGCAAAATCTCAAATCAAAATTCTCGTTTAGATACAAAATTCCATAGAGAGAATAAAGGACGAACGAGAAACAGATGATGGAACAGATCAAGTATTCGAATAAAATTTTGCCCAGCTCTGCTCCCCCTGAAGCTCGAAGATTAGGGGTGGTGTCCACCCCCCGTCGATCAACGTCGACGCGCCTGCGCGCATCTTGCCGTAGAACAGTCCCCCGTGTATATAAATATCGAAAAGAATCGTAGACTGTGATCCGTGGCGGATCAGCCGTCCCGCGCCTCCCTTAGAAAGGACGAAGGATCCCTTTCGTTCCAGTCCGTGTAAATAGTTTGACAGAGGCGCGCGATCACAACGAGCAAGCATGAGAGACGAGGTAGAGTGTATGGGCGCGTGTATACAAGGCGTGCGGAAATTTGTCGTCCAACTTTTGGCCAGGTACGGTACTCGTCGATGCATAAAAAGGGAGATGGTAAAAGTGAGTCTAGAAACGAACAATATTTTATTTGGGTCCGAGGAATAATTTTATTTGTATCGAGGTGTCTTTTTAGGTTTGTCTGGACGATTTTTTAGCACCGAAAATTGAATTTCAAGGGGTGAAACCGCACTCCCTCGAAGTTCATAGTGCGATTTCACTCATTACGATCGTTCATTTCCGTATCCACGTTTGTCGATCACTTATTTGCTTACTTCGACGAGTTCTACGCGCGTCCAAAGTTTGGGTGAGAATTTCACTGCGCGTTAGAGACGAGAAAGACGCTGAAAGCGAGTGCCAAACTTCGTACCCATAGCGAGAAGAATCCCAGTGTAAAACTCGAGTTGTACTTGCGATTGTATTTAAACGTCGTTGTCCCACGAAGCGACCAGTATTCCCCCTTTGTCGATCGATGTCTCCGAAATGTACCGACGATTTAAATTATTGTATCGATAGAACGTTAGAGGGATGCCTTGGCTAAGGCGTCGGGAGACGATCGTTCCCCGAGGTGTCGTCGTTTCCATCGTCGTTCCCCGGTCTCCTCGACGAATGACGCGGTATACTTCTGTTCCTCCAGGAGACCGGGGAAAGTTTGAGTGGAAGAAGGGAGCTGAAAAGGGAGTACGTGTTCCGTTGGATCGATCGTGCTCCCGGAATCTTGGCGAACGACCGCCATCCCGCGTTCAGGGGTCCGTTTGTAAATACATTGTACATAAAAGAATTGTGATTTTATTCGACGTGCAAAGGCGTAGCGTTGCACGGTCATCGGAAGATTCGGTTCGTGTTCTAACGATATAGCGAAATAAATTATATCATCTCTTCACGATACACGTGTGCGTTTCATTCACCAGCCTTTGATCAGGGACGGCGCGCGACACTTGGACAATCGCGGTCGATATTCTGTTTTGTACAGCGAATCCCACGTGGGCCTGGATGCGCTGAACAATGTATTTGCACCTTGTACAGGTGCGAGAGTAACGCCGTATGCGGATTCTATTTTAAATTGCCGACCATGCCTTTCAGCTTACAGGCTGTATCGACGAAACCAGTCGCGGATCGGTAAGTTTGACTAAGTTCGAATGGGGAAAAGGAGAAAGAATCGCGCGTGTTGTTTGTGGAACTAAACGAATTATCGTTTGTTTCGACCAACTAGTAGAAAGTGAGAATCGCTGAGAATATCTCGACCTTTCGGAGGTGCCAAACGTATCTCAACATTCCTTGTTTCAAGTAATGCCAGATATACGAATCTATAGATAACCATCGGGAGTAACAACTGCAACAGAATACAATCGTTTTAGTCGTTTCTTAATTATCTAAGGCTCTCGACACTTCTCCACTCGGAGGCTATGGCATGCGAAACATAATACGCGATGTTCCCCAGCGCCAAACGCGCTACCTGGGCGGCGCTAGTGGCACATCCTCCTTTAGAACTCGTTTATTCATTCATTCATTTATTTAAAGTGCGTAACTTATTATACTGGATTGTCGAGAAAGTCATGACGTATTTTTTCTTGATTTTTCAAATGTTATTTATTTATACAAAGGACAAAGATCAATCACTGATATATAGTCCGTTTTGTTCGATAACCTTTCGCCACCGTTCAGCGAGTTTCATAATTCCTCGTTCATAGAAGGACCTGTCTTTATCGGCGAAAAACTGACTAAGGCGCTGATTAACAGCCTCGTCGGAATCGAACGTTATATCGCGCAAAGAAGCTTGAAGAGCGCGAAACAAATGGAAGTCCGATGGCGCAAGATCTGACGAATATGGTGGCTATGGTAACAAATCCCATCCAAGCTCCGGTAATTTTTTAATTATTGCTTTGATTTTGTCATCATTACCCCGCGATGGGTCTCCCTGACCGAGGAGCATCGCTGAGATTAAAATCACCAGCACCGAAATTCGTGAACCATCGTTGGCACTGATGTTCTTGTAAAGCATTCTCACCGTAAACTTTATGCAACTTTTCGCAAGGTTGACTCGCGTTCTTCCCTTTATGGAAGTAAAACAATAGAATATGGCAATTATATGAAAATTCAACCGAATCGATCAGTCTTTTGTTTAGTAGGAAGCTAGAGTTCTTAGTTGTCGAATGACAGCAGTCACGTGGTTGCAACTGACTCTAGTACTGCCAAAAGTAAGTGATTAGGTGACTAGTGCCACCTGTTGCAGAAATCCGTCACGACTTTTCCGACAACTCAATATAAAGTTATTGCACTATCGCTTACTTATTACTAGCTTATTTCCATTCTCCTTATCATCGTATTGCGTGACTCCGGCATTGTTTTAATACTGTTTGCAGTATCTCTTACTTGTCATCTATTGGGACACCCGTTGGCCCCTCTCTAGCTCGGGTACCTCGAGGATGCTAAGCCCGTACTGTAGCCACAAACACCGTCACATCCCCTGACGGCGTTTAAAACTCGAACCGAAAACGTATTTACCAGCGAGACGTTACCAGACAAGTTTAAATTCCGAAACATAACGCGATGCATCGTCTCTCGGACGGAATTCGAGCTTGAAACGGGAAATTACGGATCTCGAGGATCCTGGGTGAAAGAGGTTGGAGCGCGATTAATCGTAATGATAAAAGATCGAGCAGTGCTGGCGGTAATTGGCGGGTCGGCGTGAGCCTGGCGCAACGAAAACGAAGGCTGCGACGTCCCTTGCTAATTGACGTCCACTCGAAATCCGAGGATTCAACGCGTCCTTCTCCCCTCCACGCC